GGGGGGGGGGGGGAAGGAAATAAACTCAATTTTCTCTCTTCTAATTGTGGCCAAAACAAGGAGGAGCAGTAAACGTGTGTTGTAGAGGGGAATGAGGGGTCAAGGGAGGACTGGAGTCAGAGCCAGCCCTGCAAGTGGATCCTTCTGCCAGGAGAGAGAGCCCTCGGCTCAGCGCTCAGGCTGCTCTGCCTCCTGCCAACACCCTCCCTAATTGGAGCTGCCAATTAGAGCCTTTCCAAACCAACCTGACAGGAAACAAGATGTATTCGCGAGTCTCTGCTGCGAGAACAGCGCCCCGAGGGCGCGTTCCCGTGACGGGAGCGGAGGGTTTGGCAACAGCGGGCGGATGGGGTTTGGGTGGGTGTGGGTGTCTCCCCCCTCCCCGCTAGTTTCTGTCGAAATAAAGCGGGTTGCCAGGTTTAATGAGCTCCTTTCCATCTCCACGTGGCTAAAGCACCTAAAGCTGAGCCCCAGGGACGGCCCAGGGGGTGGTTTGGGGAGCAGCATCCGCACCCGCGTGGGGTTGGGGGGGGGGGGGGGGAAGGAAGATCTTCAGGATGTGCCCGTGGGAAAATCGACTCAAAATTCCCCTTGCTTTCTGACCTGCTGCTGGGGAAAACAAAACTTCGGGGGTGGGTGGGGCAAAGAGTCTGGATTTGGCATCAGGAATTAATCAGGGGAGAAAATGAACCAAGCACCAAGTCCAGCCAGCCTGTTTGGGTCCACAACCAGGACCAGGTGATACAGAGAGAGTGTAAGAAATAAAGCAGGTATAAAATGATTTTGAGATCATGTTTGGTTATCCTAATAATCAGGAAATCCTGATTTTTTTTTTTTTTTTGCCCCCACGTCACATATTTTTTTTTCCCACATTCACTTTGCCAGCCTGAGTCAATGTGAAAAAAATGTCCTTTTTTTATTATTCTTATTTTTATTTTTAAACCTACCTCCAAATTATTTGCAGTCACAGGATCTCTGCCACTCTCTGTGTGTTCTGACCTTGTCTCATTTAAAAAGCTGTGTGCCTCGTTTGGGAAAGAGCAGGAGACAGGTTGGAGGGAAGGAGCAGCCTGGAGAGGCTCTGCCAGGCTGGACTGAGTGGTGTGAGGGGAATTAAGAAAGGCTGAACCTTTCTGTTGGCTCAGCTGAGCAGGAGCTGCAGTTCTGCCCTAAGGAAGCTCAGAAATTCTGCTTTTCGAGGTCAAATCTTGGGCTCGTTTTAACCAGCCTGTGAAACCCTGTCTTTCTGGATCCCTCTCGTGTTTGTTATGTGGCACAGAAATCCCCCCATGGGAGGGGGGCACAATTTATTCCTGGTTAACTGAGACATCAGAGGATTCCTGGGCATCCCCAGATATTCCCACCTCGGGGCTGGTGTGTGGGGACAATCCAGCAGCTGATGAGGGGGTGATGCCTCCTTATCCCCTCTATAACACGATGTTCTACCAGCACTGAAAGGAGAATTGGGCAGAAAGTCAAATAAACCGCTTGATTTGCTCAGCGATTTGGCAATTTGTTGGTTGCTCTGCCCTCAAAAAAAAAGAAAAAAAAAGAAAAGAAAAAAAAATCAAAGTAATTGGGCACCTCGTGGGTTTTGAGAAAGGTCTGAACAGGCTTCTCCCTGAGCTCCTACACAAACAAACAGTGCTTTTCCCTGCCCTGGGGTGACATTTGCTGCACAAAGCACAACAAAACCTCCCTGAACATGTGATGTTTTGACCGGTGTCAAAGCCACGTGGTTGAAAAGCAGGATTTTCGCAAGGTCCTTGCCGGGTTTCTGCAGTGGGAAGGAGCAAGGACCGTGGCCAGGGCTTCTGGAAGCTTCCCTAAATCTCTGCAGGACCTGTTTCATCCTGCCAGGCGGGTGGTGGGGTCACCATGAGTGTCACAGGAGGGAAAAACTTGCTGGAGATTTCAAGGCAAAATGGGAAAAAACAAAAACAAAACAAAACAACCAAACAAACAAAAATCCAAAACAAAACACAAACAACAAACAAACAAACAAACAAACAAACAAAAAGAAGCCAAAATAACCAGGGAAGCCAGAAGTGCAAATGGCTGTGGAGTTTTTCCACCTTGGAAATATCCAAGAGCCATCTGGGCATGGTCTGGTGCAACCAGCTCTGGGTGGCCCCGCTTGGGCACAGGGTCAGTGTGACCTCCAGAGATCCCTTTCCAAGCCCAGCCTTTCTGGGATTCTCTTGGATCAGCTCCAGAGCAGAAGGAAAGAGGGGAAAATAAGGTGATTTTCTTTTTTTCTTTGTTTTAATGCCTAAGAGAAATCATTCAAAAAAACCCACTGCTATTCTTCTGCTTTTTTTTTTTAGGTGTCCACAGGAAAGAAGATTTCAAGGAGATAAAGCAGCTTTGGAGTTCTTTGTGCCACTGCCCACACAGAGATTGGGATGACAGGGAAGAGCAAGGGTGGGGAGAGCCTGTTGGGTGGGTTGTCTGGCAGCAGAGCAGACAAGAGCAGTGCACAAGGAAAAGGGTTATTTAATGGTGTGGAAGAGATTCCTTAGGTGGAAATCCAGCATTTTCATGGACAGCTCAGTGAAAATGTCTCTTCAGTCTGCAGGGATGGGCAGTGCTGTGTGTGAGGTGTCAGGATGAGTCAGGAGTAAAAGCAGAGGTTAATTCTAGAAGTAATTCTAGCCCCTTCTAAACGTTGGAACAACAATAGAATGAGATGAGAAATAATCTTTTTACAAGGTTGTTTTGGAAGTAGTGAGAGGTAAATGTCTCTTTTGCCTTTCAATGCTCAAGGAGAGAAATGATTCCTTGCATTGAAACATTTGGGATTTTTTTTTATTTATTTTTTTTTTCTCTAAGCCTCAAAGCTGAGCTTTGTTTTCAAGAAGAATTGAGAGGTTTGCACCTCCCAGAGATTCCCACCTCTGCCAATTAACCCCCAAGTGGAATTATGTGGCTCAAGACAGCCCTCATCTGGTCCATTGTCATCTGCACAATCTTTCTTTGGAACTCCTACACTTCCCAGAGCCCAAGCTTGTGTTACATCACGGGTAGCAAATTTGAATTCGCTCACCTTGTTGAAGTTGGGAGACCTGGCCCTGCCCCCTTCTGAGTCACTAAAGGCCCTGCTGATGGCGAACTGGATGGCCAGGCCGGTCATGGTGCCCGTGGAGAGCGGCTCGATCCTCCTCACGGCCTGCAGGAGCCCAGCCTTGGTGTGGTGGGTCTTGAGGGAGAACTCGTTCTTGACAGCGCTGGCGTAGTTGATGACGCCCACCCTGGTGGAGTTGGGCCCCACGTCCAGCCCCTCGATCACCCGGGACACGAAGACTTTGATCTTCTCGAACTCGTGCGGGCGGACGCTGCGCGAGCTGTCGATGATGAACACCAGGTCGGTGGGCTTGGTCCTGCACAGGGTGCCTGGGACGGGGCAAGGGGGAGGAGAAAAATGAAAGGGAAAGAGTGGCCTTGGTGGAGCAGTGGCTGGGCAGAGAGGAGCTGGAAGCTTCAATCCTTTGA